CGATCATTCAAAATATTTTAAAACTAATGTAACTTTTTCCCACAATTTAAAAACTTTGTTTGGTATTGAAAAAGCATATTTGGAAAAATCATAAACAGGGTTAACATATTTTTTAAAACCTTTGTTAATTCTTGTATCCCTTTTTTAAAGACCCAAGAATTTCTCAACTAAATAAGCTTCCCAAAAGATAAATTGTTTCCCAAAATGATAGAACATTTTTTCTTGGAATTTTTTTTCCTTTGGGTTTTTTAATTTCATTTACAACATCTTTTTTATACCCCCACCAGTAAATTATCGATTTATTGGTAACACAACATTTCCCAAACACTTTTTAATTCTTCTTTGTTGTTATTTTTTAAGTTCATTTTAAAAACTTCTTTTTAAAAAAACATTTGAGACAGTAAAAATTTTAAATTTTAAATTATTGTTCATTTTAATTTTTTATATAATAAATAGTAAATAAAAAAATTTCTTAAACAATATAATTTTTTTTTTTTTTGAATATAGAAAAGAAGAAGACAGCTAATTAAAAATTTTAAAATTTTTAGAAAATTTTTTTAGATGAATATAAAAAAATAAAAAACAATCAACCATTGATAATGGAAAGAAGATTTGGGACAAAAATTGGACATTAACAAAGAAAAAGAACTTAATAAAAGAACTTGTTCCCCTTTGCTGTTAAGAATTTTTTGACTACCCACAAAACACCAAAAAGAAACATCTTTTTAAAGAAAACTGTTTTGGGGGAAAAAGCACCGATGAAAACCCCTTGATGATGACAAAGAAGCTATGAAGATGGGTTAAACACATTGATAAAGACGATGAACGCTAAAGATGATGACGAACGCTATGACGAAGCATTGGGGCATTTGAAAACTGATATCTCACAGTTAACTAACTACAAAACAAAATTTATTGATAAGAAAGTAGGAGATTTCTTAATTGGCTGCAAAGACGATGTTTTTGGACTAAAGGCTTATAGGTAGATTGTATATTGGTGATAGCAAAGTAACATTCAACAATTACAAATTTACTGTAAAAGGCCGAACATACACTGGAACTGATGGTTTGATGAAATTACTAACTAGTAAGAAAGTAACAGAAAGTGACTACACTGCAACAGACTATGAACACTATAGTCGTATCCTAGCAGATACAAACACAATTTTTCACAACAATGATCCAAACTTGGGAACGCCAAAATCGAGTAAAAGGAATAAATGGAAAATTATTGTTAAATCTATTCACGATTCGATTAAAAAGAAACATCACTCATCTAAAAAAAGGGGAAGGTATAAAGAAATATACAGACTATCCCAAAAAAATACATATGGATGAATGATGTTAGGATGCTTATTGATCAACTTCTCGTTATTTATAGTGAAGAGAATGCTGAAAATGATAACTATTACAATGAAAAAGTTGGAATAATGAATATACTCAACAGCAAGTTTGGTGACAATGTTGTGAATAATCCAAAAGTTATACCATATCTGATACGAATGTTAAACACAATACCACATACTTTTTGAGAGTCGGAGCATCATGGATAAGGGTTACTCAATGACATAATAAATGCACTACCTTTAGAGTTGCATACACCTGGTTATCAGTACTAAGGTCCGGGTACCAGACTAAAATAGAAAGTTAAGCTTGGTGATAAACCCATTAATCCACTAGATGCGGCTGCAGTGGAACATGAAATAGCTTATCATCATCACAAAAGTTTAGCTGAAAGGCATGTAGCTGACAAAGAACTAGAAAAGAAAGTGTTCAAACGATTGTTAAGTTCAGATGCTGATCTCAATAAAAGACTGTGGGCTGGTGTTACTGTATCTGCTATGCATATTAAACGTAAACTTGGCTGGGGAATTAAAACGAATTGATAAATTATTTGTTATAATAAATTAAAGTAAAAAACATTGTATTTCAAGTTCCTAATGAGGAGTTGAAGGGTTTGAATATTGATTATTTCCTAAAGAAAAACCAACTGGAACGTAAAAACAAGAAATTAAAAGAGTACAAAGGGATGACTATAACAATTTCAGTTCCAGAACTTAAGAAAATGTGCAAAGAAATGAAAACTGGAAATGGTCTAACAGTTCACAATGGTGAATTTTTACCCTTAATATTTGCAGCATTGGGAGCTCTAGGAGCGTTAGCTGACGGTGCATCATCTATCGCTACATCAGTAATTAATACTAAGAAGAAAAACCAATAACTATAAGAACGACTTAGACATAATTTAGCTATGGAGGAATACGCCAGGGATTGAAGAATGTTAAGTGGGGTAAGAATGTAAAAAAAAGTATCTCCACTCAGTAACTTTGATATTGATAAAATGGTTGAAATATTAAACATTAAAAATTTTAGAGGTGTATTTATGATCGATGAGCTACTTAAACACCACTCGATAATGAATGTGGTATTGTTAATCTATATGTTTCAACAAACTCTGGTACTAACTGGGTATGTTAGTGGGAAAAACAAACATTATTTTGATTCATTTGGCGGAAATCCACTGTGACAATTAAAAGCATATCTCGGAAGTAATATTTTTTATAATAATGATAGGATTCATAATTTCAATCAAGTAATTTGTGGTCATTTGTGTGTAGTTGTGCTAAATCACTTTTCACATAATTTTAAATTCCCAGAAATTATTTCACTATTAATAAACAATGGGTATATGTGGAAATGCATTAATGAGCTCTTGGATTGAAGATCAAATCCTAATGATTTTGTTTCCTACACACAATTCGACGACTTTATAGCCACACTGACAAGAAATAAAAGATAATTGGATAAAGCCTATCTTACTTACTTGGGAGTAGATTATAATATCGATGTTAAACAAAAAAGACTAAGAAATGTGGGGGATCCCATAATGGCTGCAGCTGTTATTTCAGTCTGTGGATTTGTGAGAATTTTTTTTTTGTCTGGAATAATATTGTTTCTGATTTATTTGTACGAATATCCATCACCCAGCAGTCTTGCTTTATGTAATTTAATTATTAACGTATACTTTCTCCATCCGCACAAATACTCTCAGCCTATCCACCAATGTACGAACTGGGCCTGCTTCAATGCTATTCCAGTGGTTAAATACGAAATGCAATATCAGCCAGCGAGACTTTGTTTCTAATATTCTAAGGTGTCGGTTATATTTCTTTTCTTAATACAAATACTTCAAAGAAGATAAGGGTTTTATAAAATTCAGTTATTTTAAGTGGGACCTTACAGAGGGCCTACGGGAGTTCAGGAAATGTGAAAATTCTTCGAGTTTGTTTGGACCATACTGTCAAACCACACAAGAAATGTGTCGTCTATATACCTGAATGAAATTTATTGTGAAGCGTGGTTCCAGATTTATAAGATTTAAGTAATAATATAAATACACTTTTTTCTATATACAGAGATGTGAACGGGGGCGTAGCTCAGATGGTAGAGCGCTCGCTTAGCATGCGAGAGGAACCAGGATCGATACCTGGCGCCTCCATGGGTCCTCAAATTTTTAGAAAAATTTTTATTATAACTGTAAATGAGAAGTTGTTGATTTTCAGTTTAGAATGACTATTTTATCCTTTCAGTAGAAATTATACGGTCGCAATTCAAATGTTTTCAAATGTTTTATTTATTGACTCTTCTTCTACGGCAACATTTGTCAAGTTAAACTTCCTTCTCAAATACAATAAGACAAACATTATTTGTGTCCCATTAATAATAATCAGAGTTAAAAGCGTTTTCCAGAAATTATATTAAATATTCAATTTTATTTTATTACATAAAACATTCTTAAAACTTTCTTCTTAAAATATCCACGTCCATCCTTGGAGGCGGTGAGAATTGTTCTAAAGAAAAAAATAATTCTATTTTACATTTGCCTTACTTACTTATGTTGTTTCCTGTCCTCTAATTGGCTGCCGTCTGACCATGACACATCTCTTCATCAATCAGCAATAACGAGACGAGAGACAACCAGGATAATTTTATTAATTTCTTTTTGTTTAATAAATATTTAAAGCCGACTACCCTCTAGTAAATAAATTTAAAAATAACAAACTGGATACTGTCTAGAAACAAATTTAAAGATACTTACATATGATATTTATATTAAATAAACTATTAAAATAACCGAAGATTATACTATTATCCAATATAATAAAACCTTAAATTTGGAATAACATTAAATGAAGTGACAAGATAAGCAAGTACTCTTCAATTATATATGATAAGAATGTCTATGAATAACGTTAAACGTAACCCAGAAAACCTACAATGTTACGAAGTGACTTATAAATATACAGACAAGACAAATTCCTTCCCAACAAATATTTTTTTTCGTATTATATTTTTAAAGTTACTGCAAATTTTCTATAATCAATCATTTTCATTAATACAACTTTCCAAAAAGAATTTAATTAACTTCGAAAGGGAAACGACACAGGATATGTAGCAGGAATTTGAACTTAAAATAATCAATTGTGGAAGATGTATTAGCTCGGTCCGTTACGTATGGCGAAGGGACTTTATAGCTTTGAAGGACACATTTTCTGTTAAAGGGATTTTGCTTTCGACAGTCTTCGGAAGCGAGCTGTGCTTGCCGCAAAGGAAAGCTTAGAATTAAGTTTGGGATTTTTTTCTCTTTGTTGTTTTATAATATTGGAATTTAATCCTCAGAAATTTGGGATTAGTTTAGTAAATTTTAATTGCAGCTGGAGATTGATTTTACTTCTATTTTACTACAATTTAGTCACGAAGAGATTTGGGCGGAAAGTTTTGGCTTACTACATTTCAGTCTAGGGATGCTGTTATATCGGGAACGTCACTGTAAGACTTGGCGAAATGATGACCCAAACAGGAAAGCCATGGCAGATTTTAAAATTTCTTTTCATCTAATTATCATGGTTTCAAATTACACCTGTGTTTATGTTTGTTGATAGGTATCGCTATTATTTGCATATGTGTTTTGGACACTATAACACGTCAATTTACATGTGGGTTTGAATAAGAATTATTATTTTAACCCTTATATGCTTTTGAATATTTTAATTTCATACATGTCATATTATTTTTGTTGTAAACCACCATTCATAATTTTGCTTATATTTCTATTATTATTTGTGTTATTCTATGACATGTGTATATGTATTCCGAGGTAAGAGGTTATAACTTGGCTATGTTAATTTCTATTTACTTATTAATTTACATGTTTGCATGATCATTTTCCTTAATTTTGAAACGTATTTATTTCTTTTGTGTGTTTTTTTAAAGCAATTTTAGCCTTAATTATTTTCTTGGTTTGGTAACCGGAAGTAGTTAAGCTCCTATCACGTCACGTTTTAGGAAAGTTGCCGGAAGGGCTTGATTATGTGTGGGACCTTTGAAGGATCCAGCAGCATAAGTTTTCGCTGGGATTTTTACTAGGAATATTCCCAGCATCTGCGTAAGGGTAGACTAGTGTTTACTACCCAGATGTTCAAGTTATTATTTTAAGAACCAATCAAGTAAAGAAGAGGGCTGAGCTTCTTATAATCGTTAGTTATTTTATGAGCGTGTTAGGCAAAAGAAGAGATGCAATGGACTTCGTCGACGCCATGTAAAAAGCTTGAGGTTTGGCCTACGTCCAGATGGCGCTACCTTATTTCTGAGGTCTAATATTTATTTTATTACGTATTGAAGTGTTCTGCGAATACTAAATTAACTGTACTTTTGGTCAGAATTAACGACAGACTCGTTTATTTGTGATTTTCATGTTTAATGGAGACGTAATACCCAGCAGTGCAACTCTACTGATGAGTTAAGCTCCGGAGCAAAGAATACTAATTGATCATCTAATGAGCCCAAGTGAACTTTCTAAAATATTAATTTTTATTTGAGAATAGACTTGTTTGTGAATAATTAATTTTAAAGCTACAATGATCGTGAGACTGTGTTTAACGATCTGCATGGAACTGATACGGAGCTCTTTAAACGCAGGCTAGGAAAGGAAGCGCTTAAGGTTAACTACTTCTGGGAAACTACAATTTAAAGTTATTTTTATTTTTGCAAGTTTGAATCATTTTTATTTTGTGGCAGATTTTAATAATTTCTTTTTCAACTTAAGTAATATTTAAAGTTTCATAATTTTTTCATCCTTCAATGGATGGTGGTATAACATCTGATATACAGTAAATATTAATTGCTTACACAATCATTGATTGAACTTTGTCACAACTAATTTATTTTGACAGACACATAATTTTTATTTACTAAATTATTTATTTCCCAGAAGTTTATTGGAATTATTACTGGTTATTTTTACGGTTCAATATTTCTTTAATTAAAATCCATTCATCCCAGTGGTTTATTATATTGGCTTACATCATCCTAGTGTTCATGTGCATGAATTTGTCCTTCCTAAGCATCGCAGAGTTCCAGAGTCTACAAGGTGTCCTACCTAAGGTGAAAGGCAATAAGGTTCAGTGCAAATACTATGTTTTGTCTCACACAATTATTCATTAAATACATACAGCTTGTATCCCATGTCGCCCATTCGAGAATTTCACTCTCCTAAACTGGCAAAGAGTTCAAACCCTTTGCATAATTTCCCTGTGCTTCCTCCGACTATATAATCATGCGTGGATGTGTTTGAGATGCCATTTTCTACTTATACAGCATCACTGTGTTCACCGCAGTAAGGTTAATCCAAATTTAAATAGCATATATATATATTATAGTTTATATATTTTCATTAGAAATTAACCTGTCTGAGACTATTTCCACTTCAGTGACAACTAACATTATAGGAAGTTTTTAAATGTACTTAGTGTACTCGTACTTTAATTGTTGTTTAATCATTTATCAATATTGAGAATTTATGGCAGTCATTGCAGGATGGTAAAATATTTACTTCTTGGCTGTGTATGACAGGAACAGTTGAACTAACATTCGATTATCTACGTGGAAGAAAGGAAAAAAATGGAATTTTCTAATAAACTAAATTACAAATCTGGACATTTCGCATTATTTTCTAAATGCTGCGCCGAGAAATGCAATGCTGCCACACGTTTTACCAGAAGAATCCTGTCAATGGGAACTCTTTGAGTTAAAGACGGAAAAATATTTAAGGAACGGCTCTCTTCTCCGCCACAGTGCACCACCCATACACTAAAGACGACGTAGACGGCTCACTAGGCTTCTGCGCATGTACCCAACATTGACCTACAACCTCTCCCCCACACCCAAAAAAAAAAAAAAAGAAAAGAAACCCGACTCTCAAAGTCACATTGTCAACAGTGATGAAGTGTTTGTTTATATCTTAATTTTTAAATGGCAAGCACTTTTATATTAATAAAATACTTTTATGAATTTTAAATTAACCAAGCTGTATTAAAAACTATCTAGAGGAAGTATAAAAACATGTCAAAGCACTTGTTTACTAAACATAATTCTAACATCAAATACAACTCATGTGGTTTTTGCTAGCCGTATTAGCAGAGAAGAAGTTCAGTGTTGGGACACGGAGAATCGTTGTGCGCAGCCAGCTAGATCGGTCTACCTCATCCTGGTGCCACCAGCAAAATCATAGACTAAATATATCGTAGAGGATATCTCCGAGCAAACACGATGGGTATACAGGCTGTGCGTTCCAACCACGTAGTTACTACGCTCCGTGTTCCGGCACTTTGCTTCTCTCTCCTCAACCACACTATCGAAACAAATTACACTTCTTCTGACCTAGATTTAATGCTACCATAATAATACTGAAGTTATTGCAAATATTTCAAATATTTTGTTTATATCAAATGGGGAATCTGTTGAAATGGCGGTCGCCTACCAAGATGGCCGTCGGTTGCACCTACCAAGATGGTGGAATGGGTATGTGGGAGGGGTAACTTCTGGAAATTCAAATTTTATTTTAAACATTTTAATAATTGTAACGATAAATATTTTACTTTTTAAAATAATTTTAATGGCATTTTTTTGGGATTTTCTTGCATTTTTGGAATTTATTTGAATTTTTGTAATTTTTCGGATTTTTGAGGTTAAAGGTCAGGGTCAAAGGTCAAGGACCCTGAGTCATGCTTTCCCTAACACAAGGTCCCCTGGGTCGCTAATCTCGGTCACCTCTTACGGGGAAAATGGGAAATTTGTGGTGGTCCTTTTTTGCAGCTGGGAATAAGGGAAATGTTTAAAGCACTTTTAAGGGAACAAGAAATTTTTTTTAGGGATATTTAGTCGATTTTGAGTGAAAAAAAGGAAAAAAGGAGGGAAAATGGCGGGTGACGTCACAACATGGTGGGAGCCTGGCACCTGGCTCCTACGAATCCCTTGCGGTCAACTTCCAATTTTCCTTCTACTTACTAGGCTTGGTGTAATGAAAACAAGGTCACAGGTGAGTCGCTAGAAATGGAATTTTCGCTTGGGGTTCGAATCTCTCTCCAGTATAAAATATTTCAACTGTTTAAAATTGTTCTATTTAAGGTTAAACACCCGAATAACGAAAACTAAAGAATT